AATCACCTCAACCCCATGATTTTAATGTAGCTTTTTAAATTATTGCATTTTGTTCTCAGTTCTTATTTGTAAGACTTATATTTTTGAATTAGATTGTTCTATTCCTTACTTCATTAAAAACTAATCAGGTGCAAACAAAATCAGAACTGAACATCTGTGTGTTTGGCACTGAGCTAGATGCTGGGCAGGTAACAATGGGTGTCGCAGTTCCTTTAAGCTGTTAGCCTCTCTGGATTAATGGATACCTGGAGAACTGTAAAACATTATTTCAGGCTGTGTCTGTGACAGTCTCGGGACAGACTGACAATAAACTGGCCAATCGAGCGCAGAAGATGCACTCTTTATGTGGGTGGCACCATCCATGTGGCTAGGGGCCAGGATGGACTAAATGGTCAGACAAAAGGCAAGCCTGCCACTTCCCTGGTGCTGTACTGGTCTGTCCAGAACTCTGGGTTCCCTGGCCCTGGGACCAGAGTCTCCTTTGGATTCTCCAGCCTTTAGCTTTCAACTGAGAGTCACACCTTTGCCTTCTCTCCTCTGAGGCATCTGAGCTGGGAGTAAGCCAAAACCCTGACCTCCCTGGGATGCCAGTTTACAGGGGGTGTGTCTATGAGTTCCCAGCCTCCCGGTTTGCTTAAGACAGTTTCCTTAATAAACTCCCTCCTGGTGAGCTCATATTTTCTCTCCATATTCATAAGCCGTATGCAATGATGTGTTTACTATAGATGCATCATTTTGGTTCCATCTCTAGAGAACCATAGTGATTAATACTATGAATGAGAATGAATTCCATTCCTCCTTTCCCAGAGCTCATGAGACGGTGATCAAACAGCCAGCAGTAAATGTAAAACTACCGTGTTAGCAAATTACCATTCAGTAAGACCTATGCTCTGAATTCAACCAGAAATTCTTACAAGCAAAAAAATAGTATTTCAGGAAAAAGGATGTGTTAAAGGGTCCATCACACAAAAGCGGATGAAAGTGTGACGGCCTGACTCAGGAGGAAAGGCGCTATCACATCTGTTCATCTCTATTTCCAGGAGAAAGGGGTTCTTTTTCCACCTCTTCCGCTAACCACTCTTTGAATTCTCCTTTGTGTTGCAGAGAGATTTCTCAGGCTGGTGTCCTAGTTTTCCCTCTAAATTCTTCCTTCTCTGTTTGCATCTTGGTCCTTTTCAGAGAATTTCAAGTTTGACTTCATCACCAATGATTTGACTATTTTGGCTATGGTCTTCATTGAACCATGTTCAATGTGAATTTAATTATACTTTTGCCTTATTTTATTTTTTTGGAAAGAACTTCATCTCCTTTTTCTATTTTTATTTATTTTATGTGTATGAGTGTATTGCCTGCATGTATGTAAGTGCCTAAGTGTCTTGCAGTGCTTATGGAGGTCAGAAGAGGTTGTTGAAACCCCTAGAACTGGAGGTATGGACAGTTGTTAGCCACCATGTAGGTACTGAAAATCGACCCTGGGTCCTCTTCAAGAGCAGCTGGTGCTCTTAAGTTGGCCTCAAACACACAGAAATCTTCCTGTCTCTGCCTTGTATGTGCATAGATTCCTGGTGTGATCCATAAGCTCCAACCCTAGGATTAATAACATATATATATATAATTCAAAGATGAGCATAACTTTCCCTGTTCCTTCTCTCTCTTTTTCCTTTGGAGTCTTCCCATGGTCTGGGCATCCTTTCTTGGACACTCTGAACTTAATCCTTTTTCTCTGAAGATACACTACCATTCCCCTGGCATGTGACTGCCTATAAACAACATAGTTTTCTCCCTCCTTCCTCTCCCTCCTCCTCTTCCAGAGAGCTGCTGAGATTTACAGCTTGCCTGCCATGGAGTTCTTTGAAATGCAAATAAAATTTTCCTCACACTTAAACAAAAACAAGCTAGATTTCTTTTTTTTTTTTTATTAAAAAAGGATTTATTATAGACCATTTACCATTTCTTACAGACATTCTGAAAAAGAATGGAACTCACAAACCCAGCATGTGAGATTTCCCCCCAACATCTGTGTGCATGGTTAACAAATCTTTTCTCAGTTCTGTGGCCTGAGACAGTTAACATGTACAACTTGTTGTTGGCCAGTTGTCATCCTTTAGCAAGCATCCATGTTGTATGATTTTGATGTGCTCTGTCTTCTAGACTTTATCTGTGTATACTTTCTCCTCCATGAAAGGTTCCGGTCACGTGTGTGTGGAATTACCTCCCAAAGGACGTAATCAGGCTACAGCAGAGATGCCTTGAACAAAAATCTCTGAAGCAAAATTATGATTTTAAAGATTATATATGTACATAAAATAGCTATATGTGCATATATGTATATAAATGCATATGTAATTTTAATTTTCACAGATGTGATGGTTTGAATGAAAAAGTAGCCCCATAGGCTTATGTATTTGAACATGTGAGTCCCCATGTGGCTCTGATGGAAAGATTATGGAACCTTTAGAAGGTGGAATCTTGCTAGGGAAAGTATGTCACTGGGAGGGGATTCGAGGGTTTATAGCCTGGCCTCTCTTCCTGTTCTCTGTCTCTGCTTCCTGTGTGTGGCTGAAATGTGATCAGCTAGCTTCCTGCTCCTGCTGCCCTGCTTTCCCTGTCTGGTACCATGTCTTCCACACCGTGATGGATTCCATCCATCTAGAACTGCGAGCCAAATTAATGCTTTTGTCCTTTAAGTTGCCTTTTGTGGGGGTATTTCTCACAGCAACAGAAAAGTAACTAATACAACAGGTGATTCTAATGCAAGCAGAAAAATATGTCTTGCTGTATTTCATCTATTTCTCTGCTTGAGAGTCTAGGATAAGGAGTACAAGTAATTTTAATTGCTTTCCAGTGACAGTAAGATGATTAAAATTTCTCCAAATATATTTTAGACTCCAAATCACCCTTCTCCCTGCATTTGGTTTTATTTAGATTGGTTTGTTTATGCTACACAACATCAGTCTGAGCAATCTCAGTCTGAGATTGGCTGTTGCCCATCTGCTTTCTTCCACTTTCAGTTTCTCTGTCTGGAACTCCCTTCTTTTTACCACTCAGTCTCCCTCAGGAGAATCTCTTCCTCAGGAAAATAAAACTCTGTGGAGCATGGTCTAAAGAAGGACTGATGGTGAGGCCCTCAGTGATTCACTGAAATTCTACCACTTAAATATTCTTCTTTGGAGATAACCAACCACTTTGTGATTGGACTTCAGGTTCATCCCACGGGAGGGGTTACCATACCTGATACCATAAACGTGGTGAAAAGCCTGTGAGTGGAGGGCAAGGATCTAAGGGGGGAACCCACTATTGTTGTACTAAATGAGCATGCTGTCAAACTGCCTTCTAAACATTTTTTATACCCAAAGACTAACGGTGGCTCAGGCTGTGGCAGAGAAGATCCTTTTTTAAGTGTTTTATTTATTATTTTTATTTATTTTATGTGTATGAGTGTATTGCCTGCATGTATGTAAGTGCCTAAGTGTCTTGCAGTGCTTATGGAGGTCAGAAGAGGTTGTTGAAACCCCTAGAACTGGAGGTATGGACAGTTGTTAGCCACCATGTAGGTACTGAAAATCGACCCTGGGTCCTCTTCAAGAGCAGCTGGTGCTCTTAAGTTGGCCTCAAACACACAGAAATCTTCCTGTCTCTGCCTTGTATGTGCATAGATTCCTGGTGTGATCCATAAGCTCCAACCCTAGGATTAATAACATATATATATATAATTCAAAGATGAGCATAACTTTCCCTGTTCCTTCTCTCTCTTTTTCCTTTGGAGTCTTCCCATGGTCTGGGCATCCTTTCTTGGACACTCTGAACTTAATCCTTTTTCTCTGAAGATACACTACCATTCCCCTGGCATGTGACTGCCTATAAACAACATAGTTTTCTCCCTCCTTCCTCTCCCTCCTCCTCTTCCAGAGAGCTGCTGAGATTTACAGCTTGCCTGCCATGGAGTTCTTTGAAATGCAAATAAAATTTTCCTCACACTTAAACAAAAACAAGCTAGATTTCTTTTTTTTTTTTTATTAAAAAAGGATTTATTATAGACCATTTACCATTTCTTACAGACATTCTGAAAAAGAATGGAACTCACAAACCCAGCATGTGAGATTTCCCCCCAACATCTGTGTGCATGGTTAACAAATCTTTTCTCAGTTCTGTGGCCTGAGACAGTTAACATGTACAACTTGTTGTTGGCCAGTTGTCATCCTTTAGCAAGCATCCATGTTGTATGATTTTGATGTGCTCTGTCTTCTAGACTTTATCTGTGTATACTTTCTCCTCCATGAAAGGTTCCGGTCACGTGTGTGTGGAATTACCTCCCAAAGGACGTAATCAGGCTACAGCAGAGATGCCTTGAACAAAAATCTCTGAAGCAAAATTATGATTTTAAAGATTATATATGTACATAAAATAGCTATATGTGCATATATGTATATAAATGCATATGTAATTTTAATTTTCACAGATGTGATGGTTTGAATGAAAAAGTAGCCCCATAGGCTTATGTATTTGAACATGTGAGTCCCCATGTGGCTCTGATGGAAAGATTATGGAACCTTTAGAAGGTGGAATCTTGCTAGGGAAAGTATGTCACTGGGAGGGGATTCGAGGGTTTATAGCCTGGCCTCTCTTCCTGTTCTCTGTCTCTGCTTCCTGTGTGTGGCTGAAATGTGATCAGCTAGCTTCCTGCTCCTGCTGCCCTGCTTTCCCTGTCTGGTACCATGTCTTCCACACCGTGATGGATTCCATCCATCTAGAACTGCGAGCCAAATTAATGCTTTTGTCCTTTAAGTTGCCTTTTGTGGGGGTATTTCTCACAGCAACAGAAAAGTAACTAATACAACAGGTGATTCTAATGCAAGCAGAAAAATATGTCAACCTATGAGAACATGGAAAGTGTAACCTCTAGCACATTATACTAGATCCAATGCTATTAGAAAATACAATAGTCAAATATTTGGTCTCGTTCACTCTCCTGCTTATCTTGCTTTGAGTGATAGGAGAGATATCTCTTTGTACACATGAAAGGAATAAATAAAACATTATATAATGGTGAGAGCTGATTTCTTATCTGTGATAGGCTGCAGACACTTGTCCCAGAGAGCTGGCCAGGGGCGTGAAGGCTTATTTATTCCAGGTCTTTGCTTTCTCCAGTTGAAGTCTTTTTTAAAAATCCACTTCTATAGTTGACAAAAGGACATCCTATGGTTTGTTTTATGACAATCGGAGCTTGTAATTTAAATACAGCTCTATCATAATACTGATGAAGAACCACGTACATGGTTCGTTGGTGTTATAACAGCACATGGGAAGAGGAAGTTGTTGACATAATTTCAAATTAATAAGTCTGTGAAACATGATTTGACATGAACACCAGATGGTATCATGAAGGACTGTAAAAATCATCATGTGAGACCTTGGGCTTGAACACGCCATCCAAACTTTGATTTTCAGAAACACCTCACTTTTCTCCTTACATAGCCAATGAATTTCTCTCTCTCTTTTGTACCGCCATATATTTTATAGTCACTCATTTTACCGAGTCAGGATTAATTAAGCGAATATTTTTTTTTCTGTTGTACACTAACCAAGTTTCTCATTCTAAATTTGCATGGATTACATATGCTAACCTCAGATGCAAAGCTATGCCCTCACCATGATGCTCCCGTTCCTTTTGATTTGTAGTTTTTCTATTGTATACTAACCAAGTTTCTCATTCTAAATTTGCATGGATTACATATGCTAACCTCAGATGCAAAGCTATGCCCTCACCATGATGCTCCCGTTCCTTTGGACTTGTAGTTTGTTTTGTTATGCATTCATAGGGTTATTCATTTTCCACCATATGTTGATGTGGGAATTGTCAATACAAGTACAATGTTTTTGGGAAGCACAACAGCAGAAGCGTCTTTTCCTGCCCTTACATACGTGTTTCATGGCTGGCTGCAGCAGAAGGCACACAGTGATATCCATTATTATGTAGGGATTCTGGGTCTGTTTCATCCGGGACTTTCTCACTATTTTCATGTGTCTTGGTATCTTTCCCTTCATATTTTCTCTTCATGGCATAAATGAATATAACATATAAAACAAGTACTGCAGATTTTAAAGACGTGCACAAACCCAAGTAAACAGTTCTGGGAAAGGAGAAAGAAAAAAAGATTATTTTATGTTATATGGTACAGCTTATGATATTCATCTCCAGTATGCAGAACTTAAAGTGAAAAAAGTGAATTATATATAAAATATGAAAGGAACAGTTCTAGGGATTCTAGTTACTGAGGCATAAAGAGTTTGGGATTGTTTCCAAAGAATCATTATAGCTGGGTATGATGGCTCATGCCTTTAATCCCCGTTCTCCTCAGGTAGAGGCAGACAAATCTCTGAAAGCTCCAGGAAGTTCCAGGCTAACCAGTGCTACACAGTGAGGCCATATCTCAAAACAACAACAACCAAACCAACCAACCAATCAAACAAACAAACAAAAAAGCAAAGAATTGTCAAGGCACAGAAATTCAACTTCTGTTGACTCTAACCTTGTAAATGAGGAAGAGAAATATCCATATCTTTTCCCCCAGTCATCGTATTCTACCTACAGAAAGGATAGATGTTTGACATTCGCAATCTAGAGATCCAGGCTCACTAAAAGACCAAGACTTAATCATTGAACTATAGAAATATATCCTTCTAGGGCTGGAGAGATGGCTCAGTGGTTAAGAGCACAGACTGCTCTTACAGAGGACCCAAGTTTGAGTCCCAGTACCCACATGGTAGCTAACAACCATCTGTAACTCCAGTTCCAGGGGATCTGACACCCTCTTCTGATCTTCACAGCCATTGCACAACACAGGTACACTTATACACATGCAGGCAATACACTCATACACATAAAATAAAAATTAATAAATAAAATATTTTTAAAAGAAATATATCCTTTTGCCTACACCTTAGATCATAATCCTAAAGGATTATTTATAGTAGTCTCTTTAACACAGCAGTTTATGTCTATTTATCAAGAAAGAAAAATCAGAAGTCACACCAAAAGGAAAGAAAAAGTAATCATGGTTTGAAGAGAACAACCAATCTTCAAAATCAAACATACATATGTATGATGTTGGGGTTATTAGAATGAATATGAAGTAACTATGATTAACCTGCTAAAGGATCTAAGACAAAGTGGAGACATGCAGGACAGGTGGGCAGCCAAAGCCAGACACTAGGGATTGGTAATGGTGACAGAAGTTAAGAACATCTTTGATGGGCTTAGCAGCCAGGACTCAGCCTTAGAAAGAATCTCTGAATATGAAGACACCTAACTAGAAACTTCCAGAACTGAAAGTCAAAGAGGAAAAAAAGCAATAGACTATTCAATGACTTTGGAACAACTAAAACGTGTGTAAAATGGTCATGCTAGAAAAAGAAAAATAGACTTGAAATAATAATGACTGGTAGTTTTTCCAAGTCAATGTCAGACATTAAGCCACAGATCCATTAACCTCGTAGAACATCTAGCAAGATAAATGCTAGGAAAACCGCAGCTCACACATCATTTTTCAAACTATAGAATAGCAAAGCTAAAAACGGGATCCTGAAAGAGGTCATGGGTAAAACACATGCAGGAGGTAAGGGTTGTGTTTGACTTTTCTACAGAACTGAAAAGAAGATATACATAGAGTAAAATAAATTACTGAAAGAAAAAAATCCTATCAACCTATAATTCTGTACTCTGTGAAATTATTCTCCAAACTGAAATAGGGACCCAGGCATGGCAGCATGGATCTGCAGTTCTAGCTACTTGGGAGACTGAGGCTGGGGGAGCCTTTGAGCCCCAGAGTTCAAGATCAGCCTGGATAACATTGCTAGACCCTGTATAAAATGGAGAGAAATATAAAGAAAGCTCAGGCACAAAAAAACATTGGGAGAATGTGTTGCTGACAGACCTGCCTAGCAAGGAGTGTTGAAAGATGTTCTTTAATATTTTACTTGTATTTATTATATTTATTTTATGTATATGGGTGTATCGCCTGCATGTGTATAAGTACACCAATGTCATTCAATGCCCGTGGAGGCCAGAAGAGGGTGTCAGATCCCCTGGAACTGGAGTTATAGATGGTTGTTAGCTTCCATGTGGGTGCTGCAATTCGAACCTGGGCCTTCTGCAAGTGCATCCAGTGCTCTTAACTGCTGAGCTGTATCCCCGGCTTCAAAAGAAAGATGTTCTGGCAGAACTTCCAGACCAGCCACGGCCATGTAGGTCTCTGTAGGTCTGTCCATTTCTCCTTCTCTTCTTCATAGTCCTTTCTAAACACGCTTTCTCTAAGGCTCTGGGCTCCCCTAGCATCTTGTATTTCTTCACTTTTTCTCTAAAGCTTCCTTCTCCCTGCCATGTGGCTGCGAGTGAGCCATGCGTCTGACCTCTATGCAGGCTCTAAACCTGCCTGGCTCCATGGCTTTCTTTCCTTCTTCCCACTATTCACCTGCTCAGGACAGCTGTCAAGATGACCAGTTCACCTGCCCTGAAGATTTTTCTTTAAGATTCTAATAAAATTCTAAAAGCTTAAAAAAAAAAAAGTTGCTCTTTAGAGAGATGGAAAATGATATGGAAATGGTCTTCAATCAATGCTGTCTTGGCTTATAAGTTCTCAATTTTTCAATGCCGTGAACATACACCAGAAACCATATTTTGAATTTTGAATTTTTATCTTTCCTGTGGTTAATAAGGTGTAGTATGACCCTCTCATGATACTGGGCAGCAGCAGGCAGTTGCCCTTTCTGGTCAGCCACACTCTAGCCAGGGTAAGCATTCAATTCTCTACTAGATAATGGGTCACTAGCATGTTTTCTTTCTTGTATTTTCATATCCCATCACACCTACAAAACCCACCCATCTGTATATGTACATGAGCTATTTAGTGTTTTATTGTAAAATAAGCTTATTATTAAATGATCTTGCCAATTTAAGTGTTTCAGTACATTTGAGATAAACTATCCTAAGCTATAATCTTAAGTAGATTAATCAAGGGGTACTAAGTGCATTTTCAACATAATATTTTCAGCTAACAGTGAAATTTTTAAAAATGAAATATTTTATTTATTGGTTTTCATGTTATTTTATTTATTTTTTAAACATTTTATTTATTTATTTATTTATTTATTTATTTATTTATTTATTTTACGTGTATGAGTGCATTGCCTGAATGTATGTGAGCGCACCCATGTCATGCAATGCCACGGAGGTCAGAGAGGGTATCGGATTCCCCTGGAACTGGAGTTAAGGACAGTTCATAGCTGCCATGTGGGTGCTGGGAATCGAACCTGGGTCCTCTGCAAGAACATTCAGTGTTCTTAACCGCTGAGCCATCTTTCCAGCCCTGAAATTAAAATTTTTAAAAATGTATTTATTTGTGTGTGTGTGTCCGTGTGAGTATATGCCTCATGTTTGTGGGTGCTTGTGGAAGCCAGACGAGGGCCACTAGAGCTGGTGGTTGTGATCTGCCTGATGTGCTGGGACTCAAAATCAAGTTCTCTGGAAGGGCACTAAGTGCTCGTATTACTGAGCTATGTTTCCAGCTCCCACAGTGAACTTCTTTTTTTTCCTACCGTGAACTTTTAAAGACAGCCCACATGATTTGATGAGCATCTGTAAATCCTCAACTTGGTCGGAAATTCGGGTATGAAAAGAGAAAGAGCATCAGAGAAAGAATAAGACATGATAAAAAGTTCTCATTTTCTTTATTTTTAACCTGTCTAGCAGATAAGTTAGTTCAAAATAATAGCAACAATGCATTTGATTATATATTCATCATATATTTATTTTATTATATTTCTTTAAAATGTGTATTGTAGGCTCTAAATTTTTATTTTTTATTGATTTTTTGTGAATTTCATACAATAGTTTTGATATATTTAGACACTGTCTCCTATCTGCACCCCTGTTATATCCACCCCCTGCCGGATTTCAAGTACTTTGTCACAAGAAGTACAACTGATGGGCTAACGAAAGAGAGAAAACGGAATTACATAAAATTTTTCAAAAACAGGCAGAAAAAGTGTGGAAGACGAAAACAGGAATGAGGTTTACTGGATTTAGACATACTGTACTAACGACAATCGAAAGAAGATTGCTTTGTTGATTTCAAACAGCAGACTTCAAAACAAACAAAACAAAACAAAAATCAGAGCAGAAAAGAACCTCACACAATGACAAAAGATTCTCTCATACCTTTAAGAAGAAAATGTAACAATTCTGAAAGCAGCCTAAAAACAGCATCAAAATATATGGAGTAAAGCCTTCAGAAATTCTTATCACAAATGAATGGATTGATCAGAGTAATCAGGAAGGACACAGCTAAAATCAATGGCAGAATTACTTTACAATCTATTACAGACTGCTTCATTCAACAGCAGTGGAATGCAAATTTTTCTTAACTTCACATGGAGTATTCAGCAAGATAGTCCAAGCTGTCTTGGAACTCACTATATAGACCAGACTGGCTTTGATCTCAGAGATCCACCTGCCTCTGCCTGCTGAGTGCTGGGATGAAAGGTGTGTACTACCACACCTAGCTTGTTTTACTGTTTTCTTTAAGAGCTCTTTATGTATTTAGTAAATTTTCTTGTGACTATATTACTAGTTCCGATTTCTTTTAATATGTATTTTGTCTTTGAATATTGCTTAAAATAATTTTTGTTATGTAGAGTTTTTAAAATATTATTTTGTTACAGTTTTGGGGGTTTGGGTCATAATTACACATTCTTGCTTCCCAACTGAAACCAATTATACCATGAGTTATAATATCTGTAGTCTATAATTGATCAATACATAATTTACAGTAATTGTTATCTAAGGTACGTCATCGTCACTTGTTCTTCCTAATTACCATTCAGTTGTCTTTATGCCATGTGCAAAATAGCTCTCTCCATGAACAGAGGAGCATACAAATATTTTTCTCTTTTTCCCCACTGGTTTAGGGAGACCCTCATTGGCCCCTGCCTGTCTTCTTTCAGAAACCAGAGATAACGGTGGGTTTGATATGAGCAGAGCTTTTTCAGAAACCAAAAAAAAAGAATCAAGCAACAAGTCTAGCTCAGAGTCTGACAAGATGATTCGGCTGATAAAGGTGATTATCGCCAAGCTTGAGGACATGAGCTGGAACTCATGGGACCCAGAGAGTGGAAGGAGAGAACAATTTCTGCAAGCTGTCCTTTTATTTACACAGATATGTGCTTGCACACGCACACACACACACACACACACACACACACACACTAAAGAAATGTAAAGTGGAACGTCTACCTCTTTTATGCTTATGATTTTGCACTTATTATTCTTCAATCTAAAGGTAAAAATATAAAGATACATTTCCTATTACTTCTACTATTAAAATGAGCTCACCTGATATAATATTGGATATTATATCTTTAATTATTAGTTTATTATCATCTTGAAAACAGCATTTAATAATTAACATAGTCAAAGGAAAAAGCAGCTGATGAAGTATATTTATGACAACTCACCCAAATAGTGTGGAATTATATATCCTACAGGCTCCTCGTGCTCCACAGCTGTTGACGGACCACTTCATACACGTTCTGTCAATCAGTGCCCCAAAATATACAGGTGCTAGAATTCCTCCTGCAACATGGGAAGAAAAGTTGTCAACCCAAATTACATGCTTGAAATGAAGGTGGGTGGCACTCTACATGGATCCATTGTGGAGAAAGTAAGTCAAAAATTTTGTAGGACTCTTTGGCAAATATGCAAAAGAATACTACTAAGACTCTTCAAGGTCACATCATACAGTAATATCGTAAACATCTTTGATCTATTCTCCCTTTTCCAATACACACAAAGAAAGAAGAGCATAACATGACTGTCAACTCTGTTTTATAATACAAATCAACTAAAGCTTAGGTAGTAAAGAGCAGATTGTTTGTCGTAAAACATGGGGGATATGTTGGTCCACATGCCATGCTTTTCTTTGGCAAAAAATCTAGAGTAGTTGGAATAGAATTATAACTTTTTGGCTAACAGAAAAAGCATTTGCTGCAATCCTACAAAGACAGGTGCTTGCTTAACTCTATTTTAAGAAAACTAAAAATGAGGACTGGAGACATGACTCAGCAGTTAAGAGCTCTTGCTGCTGATGCAGAGGACCTGAGTTCAGTTCCCAGCACCCATGTCAGGTAGCTCACAACCATCTGTAATAAGTTGCAACAACTTGAGTAGGTTGCAAGGGATCCAGCACCCTCTTCTGGCCTCTGTGTGCACTGCATGTATGTGGTGCACATACAGACAAGGAGGCACACACACATACATACATACAAGTAAATAAAATTACAAGTATTTAAAAAAAATAAAAACATTAAAAATAGAACTCTAGCACCAGGACCCACTCCCTAGCAAAGAGCCCAGCCTCACAGAATGTGAAGCTCCTGTCACGGGTGCTGCTGGCTTCTAGGTTCAGAGTCCACAGATTCTTTTCTTGTTGTCAATCAATCCCATGATGCAGCATTTTCTCTCTACTGATTTTGCACATCTTTAAACACCTTCTGAAGTGACCTGGACAGTCAGTTTTGTTTCTGTGTGTGCTCTGATTGTAATGCTACCTAAGGCTTCCATGGTTGGTCTAACACAATTCTTATTTCCAGACTTTTGGGGAGCACTTGTGATATTTGTAGAAGCAGATGTCTGTTTGTTGTAACTGCAATTTTAATCAACCCTGAGACTGACTCAGTTCTAATCAGTAGTAATTTGACATTAGAAGGATGTATTTATAAACATTTTATTCACGATTTATTTTGTTCTTTTTTGTCTTTTGGATTTTGATGAATGAGTCTCAGATTTTTTTCATGTAAGAAAGACAATTATTCAGATATCACAATTTTATTGATCCCATTTCCTTTTTATCAGTCTCAGTTTCTTTATGTACAGATCATTTTTATTTTTAATTACTTTTTATGTGTTTAGTGGGCGTGGTTGCATGCAGGTGCCCGTGGAGGCCGGGAAAGGGAGTCAGATCCCTGGAGCTGGAGTTGTGAGCAACTCCATAGGGATGTTGGGAACCAGACCTAGGTCCTTTGCAAGAGCCTCAAGCGCTTTGAACTGCTGAGTCATCTCAGTCCCTAGAGTCAGTTTTCTGACTGTGAGAAATTTTAGCTTGACAAAGGGACTGGTGGTGTCTGAGGTTAATTAATGTAGCTGAAGAAAAGTGGCTCCGAGAAGATTGGCAAGAAATACGCAGATTTAAACAACTTGGCGGCACCCTTTGAGAAATGAAGTGAGCGCCACATTAGCGCCAATTTATCTTTCCTATACAACGCTGCTGGTGTGAACAAAAAAAAGTTAAATATTTTAGGTAAGAAACTAGGTCTTGATCCTTACTAGAATTAGAAATTTTATAGTCGCTTATTTTCAGCTAATTTGTTCTGTTTCACGTGCTCTGTAGACGTCTCACCATGCACAGCGGTATTGGATTGAAGGCAACAGTCTGTGACTTCCAAGTTTGGTACTTACTGTATACTGTGCATCTAGAAACATTTAGCTTTCGTTAGATCGTGTGCCAGACACAGCATAGAATGTTTAAATTGGGAGGGCCAGAGCCTATCTTCTTTGGATTTTTCCAGTGCTGGAGGCAATTCCTCTATTCTTAAAATCTGTCCCGCAGCCTGTCAGGAGAACTACTCACTGCACAGTGCTTCGGTTTCTGGGGCAGGTCTTTGGAGAGTGGGATCTCATTGCAGTGGGGGTGGGGTTGTACAGCAGGTGAGTGTGCAGCAAGCCCTCCTCCTTTCCCTCCTTCTTTGGTCTTTGGAGAGTGGGATCTCATTGCAGTGGGGGTGGGGTTGTACAGCAGGACGGGAGCTGCCAGCCTAGAGATGCGCAGGTGAGTGAGCAGCAAGCCCTCCTCCTTTCCCTCCTTCTTGCCCCATCTATGATTCTTTTTGACCGCTGAGGATCCAAGGCGCTGCCCCATGTGCACGTCCTGGTCAATTTCTTCTCCCTGGTAGCTCAACTAGGAATCCAACTGTGCTGCTTTCTTTTGCTTGCGAAGGTCTCAAGGACCCGCCCCTCCACATTTTGTTCATCTTTCTATTTATTTTTTCTGTCAGTTGTTTTCTCTAATTAACCCTCTTCCCTATCCCTAGGTGAGTGATTTTTTTTCCCTATTTCCTTAGATATAAACATTTAATATTTATAAACCTCAGAAATTGTTAAAGTAGCAACAGGCCTCTGGGGATAAAAATGGCAAATGATAATAAGGGAGGGGGTGCTTTCCTAAATCTCTCCCAATTACCTCATTTGAGTATTTAGAACTGTCCCGAGCTTGCTTTCAATTTAAATGTCCTCTTAACCCCAGGTGATGAATTCCAGAGTGTGGGATTGCTTTCTCTTTTGCACTTTGAGCTTTGGATAAAAGCTCCCCAGCATTCAGAATCAGGCAGTTTATGTTCTGCACAGCCTTGGATCGGCCATATTCCCACGACTCCCAAGTTGCATGAAGCATTACCTAGAAATGCTTCTGTGTACAAAGAAGGCCCTCCCTCTGCCTACTTGGAGGAAATAATCCTAAGTAAAATGGAAGAACTCTGGGAGCTACTCTCTGTGTTATAACTTGTAATACAGACATGATGGTTCTTTGGGCTAACCCCGACTTTCAAATTAACAATCAAATTCTCCTTTAGGCTACTGGGTTTTCCTCTGTCTCTTACTATTTTTATCTACTACCTATAGAAATGATTCTTCTACCTTTTAAATTTCTTATAACTGGAAGTTGTCGATATTCAGCTTTTAAGTTACATGAATCTTCTATCCTGAATTCAGTGTATTTACCATACCTAGAGCTCTGATAATCAGTGAGTGGAAACCCATTGCCAGAGATTTCAGTTCAGGTTGTACATTCCTGAAATGAGATAAAAGCAAAGAAACATTTAGACCTCTTCAAAGTGCTAAGTTGAGTTCAACATGGAAATACTGTTATTTTTCTTTATGACTGAAGGAAAACCCTTAACTGAGTAGCCCACATCACAGAAAGCTATCACTTACAGTGTTATAAAAGCCAACTATCAGAGCCATAGTATTCTCTTATGCACTGCGTAGTGATCCCAAGAGAGTACAACAAACATTTTTAAAACAATTTCGAGACTCTGTAGCCCAGGCTGGCCTCAATCTCATGACAATCCTGCTTCAGCCTTCTAGAGTGCTGAGAACACAGATGCGAGGCACCACTCCTGGCTACATTTTTGCATTTTATCCTTGTGAAATATTTTTATCCTTTTGAACAAAGCTGTAGTAGAGTTTAGACAATGCCTGTAGAGACACTGATCTCCTATGGCCTAAAAGCTCAGAGGGAAAAAAACCCAGATCTTATATCTAGATGTCAATATCTCCATCTCCTTATTTCTATAATGGACATTAACAGAGAGTTCTAGTAGTGCAGTACATGAATTCTGTAATATAACAAGAAAAGTCAAGAGAGTTATGTATTCTGGTGTCTGTCCTGTAGAAACCCAGTACATACCAGGTGAAATGAAATTGTGTAGAAGCAGTGGAAGAATGGGGTTGAGATGGAAAAACCCACAGCTGGTTGAGAAGCACAACCATTTAAAAGCCTTGGTGAAAGAAACAGCCCCTTGCTCACCTAAACAAACAGCCCCTTGCCAGTCTAAGGAAAGAGCTGTTTGCTTAAACGTTGCCTCTGCTTTGGTGAACATACTTCCTTTTTGAAAAATCCAACTTATGGTCTCTTCTCCAGGATCTAGCATGTGTTAGCACTTTGAACCTCTGTTTTCTTTACATTTAATTGTTTCTTAGTCCTTGTAGGAGAGGTACCCTTTTCCAAGTTTCTTAAATGTTTTCACTTCTAACCCCAGCAATTAGGGAGGCTGAGGCAGGAAGATTGCTTGAGCACTAGAGTTTGTGAGCAGCCTAGACAACATAGTGAAGCACTCTCAAAATTAAATAAACAAATAAATAATAAATATCTTTAAAAGAAGCTTATAAAATGAAACAGGGCAAAGTTTAAATGTAATATATAATAGAAAGTTAAAATAGTGTAGTTATCATGAAAGGAAATAAATGCAAAGTGTTTAAATGTAATATATAATAGAAAGTTAAAATAGCGTAGTTATCATGAAAGGAAATAAATGCAAAGTGTTCCTGGCTGTGGTCTGTAAAGGACAGTGACACTTTGCTAGCTCAGCTGAGGGCACACTGTAGCCAAGGAACAGTAAGCTGTGCCTGTGAGTCAACAAAGTCCTTGTTTGTTCGTTGCCTCCTTAGTGAGATGAGAAGTCATCTGAAAGGAGAACTCGACTTGTTCACTGAAATGCCTTTCTCCATATCATATGTCTCAAGGGAGATTTGGGGATGAGAGTGACTGCAGCTTGTGTCTGCTTGATTTCTCTGACCCCAGTGCTGTTGATGTTCAAGGGGTGGATTTGGTCAATATACTAGAAACACAGGAAGAAAACTGATATTTGAAATTCACTTATATTTTTACCAAGGGTTCAGAATGCTATAGGATATGGAAAGAACTTGCAGATAAAACAAGTGCTTTCCTGAAAGTGGACTGGCAGTGTGCAGCAACTTTTCAGAAATGACAGGTGTTGAGAGAGTAGTGAGCTTATACAACCATACACTCTCCTACCTTGGCAGGCATGCATACTCACAAATGTGCTCACACTCATTCCTAGCTGCATCCTTGCATCCCACCTGTGCTCACATTCACAGGCGCACTTACTTGCATGTATATTCTGCACATATTATTGTATGGTCAGGTATTATCACTGTAGTATCATCCTGCCTCACTTCTTATAAGAAGCATCTCAGTACTGTATGAACCTCTCAGAATGAAATTATCATAGAAAAGAGTCTCAAGAAGCTGCGTGTTTATTATTATTGTTACTATTATTATCTCACTGAGGGATGTCTTCTTAATGTAATAAATCACATCTGAATCGATCCTCTGTTATATTCTTTTCTGACAATCATCTATCAATCCCATTCTTTCTGGAGATGATTTCAAGTAAGACCTAAGAATCCAGCTTGGCTGACAGCACAGATAGGGAGTGATAGTCTTTTTTTA